AATTTAGAAAACTACCCATGTACTATTTTGGCACATCGACCCTTATAGGCTTAGGTCGACATTTTCGGGTTTAGAGCACGGGTCTAGGATCTCGGGTGCGGGGTGTAGGAATTGTTGGAGAGTTGAAGTGGGGCTTAGGGTCTAAATGCGTGACCCTAAACCCTAAACCCTAAGCCCTAAACCCCTGAACCCCAAAAAAGCGCCTGGGCTGAAAGGCAAAAGACCATTGAAGAGGAGGCAGACGACAAGAGCATGAGTTCCTGCCGGGCATGTCGCATTCGGCGGGATCTTGCCTCTAGGAATCTTGAACCCTCAAGCCTAAACCCAGAACAATAAGCCAGGGCTATGGTTTGGGGTTTAGGGTTTAGGGTTTGGGGTTTAGGGTTTAGGGTTTATAGGAAGCCTCAGCCTATACACGCCGAACGACCTGAATCCAAAAACCCCAAACCCTTAACCCTATAAACGCCGAACGACCTTGACTGGAAAGGCTTTCAACCCACCTCAAACCTTAGTAGCCCTCACCCTTAAGCCCTAGGCCCCAAAACCATAAACCCTCAACCCTAAACCCTGAACCCTAAACCCTGAACCCTGACCCCTGAACCCCTCTGTAGATTCTCCGTCCGCCAGTGGGGCTCTCCTTCCTACCTGACACGAAAAAATCCAAATATCTCCAACCCAAGACCCTGATCCCTGAAGAGGTTCCGGGGTATGTTGAAGGGTACTTGTGATTATTTAGGCTTAGGGTTTAGGGTTTAGGGTTTAACAGAGTTCAGGGTACCTAACAGGTAGTGAAGCAAAGGCCGTTTGTTCTTTTCATGACAAAAACACCACTGGTAAGAGTGCCGTACAATCTTGGGGACCCAAAAGGGGACCCTAATTTAGAGAATTACCCATATTATAATAACATACACCAAAACTTTCTCAGTTTGTTTGGGACCACCTCGGCGTAATTCAAGACAAGCTGCGAGTATAAGGATCACAGGATTCGCGCGCAAGCCCATGAGCCATTTGACGGTGAGAATGCTGACAATATTCGTGAAGCCAACGACCTAGGTTTCAGGGATTAGGGTGCAGGGCAGAGGATGCTGAGGACATTCGTGAGCCAACCACCTCGTCTTCATTTCCTCCATGCCTACGCCACGCAGTCAACAGAACCGCATGACATCAAGGCAGCGCTAGGTGCATGCGCGCTCCCTGAATGGAAGGCAGGCCAGGCAGTCGCCACACAGGGCGACCCCCAAGGCACAAACAAGACTTCTCCTAGCTCATAGTATAAGATAACCCCCTTCAGCAAACAAAATTACGTACATTAAGACCTGAAGCTCTAAACCCTAAGCCCAAACTCTGCATCCGTAACACTGGAAACTCGAAGATGGTTTTCCTGGGCGAGTCGAAGCTGGAAAAGCTAGGGTCTAGGCTCTAGGGGATTGCGTTTACGGCCAAGGGTCGAGGGTTTGAGGTTTCCGGTCTATGGCTCCTAGGATCTAGGGTTTAGGCTGTACGGTTTGGGGTGTACTGTAGGTTTAGGAGCAGGATCTACAAGGCTTACGGCTTCAGGACAGGTTTCGATCGGGCTTCGGGTTCCCAACGCTATGAGCAAGCCTATGAATGTGCATTGACTTGAGGGCTGCTGCTACTCCTATGGCTGCTACTACGGCTACTGCTACTGCTACTACTACTACTACTACTACTGCTACTACTGCCACTGCCTCTGACAACAACCACACTATGCTCTTGGGTGAAAGTGCCCATTATAAAGCTGCCGATCGTGGTAGCAGCAGAGGTAGCAGTCGTAGTCGTAGTCGTTGTGGTGCTGTTGCTGGTGGTGCTGGTAGTCGTAGCCTGTGCAAGTGCTAGTGGTTGTAGCGCTGGTGGTAGTGGTAGTAGTACTCGTCCTCGTCGGCGTAGTAGTGGTGGTAGTAGTAGTTGCTGTAGTGGTAGTAGTTGTCGTAGTTGTAGTGGTAGAGTAGCAGCAGTGGCGGCAGCAGCAGCAATAATAGCAGAAGGAGAAACAGTCGTGGTAGCGGTCCTCGTCGCCGCCGAAATAATAAGAGCAGTCGCAGCAGTACTAGGCCAAGCAGACAAGCAAATGCTGTCACCACTACTTGGGCTGTGTTCTCCCCTTTTCTGTCGTGACGAACTACGAGTATATGCCAAAATGCGCGATTCGCAGCATGCTTTACTTTTTTGGCGAAGACCTCGGGTCTAGGGGGTCTAGGTTGGAGGCCGACAGCAACACACAGCACAGAATGCCAATCGCCGGACAGGGGTCGAGGTGAAGTAGGCAAACCTGGTGTAGTAGCCACCGGATGCCTCCCGGAGAAAGCCTGAGCAGAAGCCCCGAGACCAAGTTCCTAAAGCCCTCAACCCTAAACAAGAAAAATGCACCCTCAACCAGGAGCGCTGGATATCAAGCAAGACAAGCGGTCCGAACACCAAAGTAACGCCAGGAGTAGATATAGTCTTGGTCACAGTGGTACTTTCGAAAATTGAAGCTAGCATGGGACTGCAAATTGGACTCCTAGACGCGAGAGGCTGTTGGCATGCAGCTCCCGTACAACTGTGTACATACAGCCGCATATCTCGTAATGTTCACAAGGTATGCCGAAACAGTTACAGAGTGCAGAAGTCAACAAACTTGACAACAATGAATGCTGGCGAGTCGTAGCGGGAAAGCAAGTTCAAAGCAAGGGTCCTTCTGTTTCTGCCGCAGGAGTAGAGGAAGTAGTGCTAGTGGTTGCAGCAGCACTAGTAGCAGTAGCAGTCGTAGAAGAAGTAGTAGTAGTAGTCGTCGTAGTAGTAGCAGTCGTAGTAGTAGTTGTTGTTGTCGGCATCATCGCCGTCGTCGCTGTCCGTGTTGTGGCGCTTCCGCTTTCTGCTAATCCTACTGGCGAAGATGTTTGCTCCAAAGGAGTGGCCTGTTGTCGACTGGCCCCCGGAGCTGGCTGGCCATCCTTGGGGGTGTCGCACTTGGCTGCTGATCTTCAGGTAGGAGAGTTCGGCATCTGCAAGGCTTTGTTGGGGGATGTTTCAGTGGTAGTGAGGCTGTTGACGGCCATTCCTCTCACTCTGCTTGCTTCCTGCCGAGGCCTTGTGTGCCGCTGGAGGAAGTGGAAGAGTACAAACAGGACTGCTGCATTTCGAGGAAACATGCTTGAACACAGAATCGCGCTGTTGATCTATTCTGCACAGTGCTATCTCTTTAGGGCGTGAGGGGACCGTGCAAGAGGCCGTGTTTGGCGACAGAAGTTCTGTGCCGCGAGGCCGATGGCTCCATCTGCCTACTTGTCCACGCAACTGGTTTGGAGGACTCGGGGCCTTTTTGGGGTTCATATATATATATATATAGAATCCTATAAGGTAAGTGTACTACAGTGTTGTGCAAGAAGATTTTTGGGATATCATAAGTCGTAACATCGAGTCAGAAAATGATGCTTCTTGCTGTGGTCATCACATCGGCGCAGAGCCAGTTTTTCACAGTGCAAATTCACTCAAGCGCCCATTGCTTGCAGACTGATCCCATCCAGGAGAATCGGTGAGGAAAGCGGATTTGCTGATCTGCGCAGCAGAAGTCACAGAGACCGGAGCTGTTCGGCCACAAGAGCCTGGAGAACAAGCCTTGCTGAGAGCTGTGGCCACAAGCTTCTGTCAGCAGTTTGCTGGCGGGCACCTGCTCGGTTGCTTAGCTTGGGTTTGTGCTTTCGAGATCGACACCGCGCATAAGGACTAGGAGGCCGGCCTGGCCATCCCATGTGCCTCCGCTTGTCCGGGCTCTAGCCGTCAATGTACTGCCCGATACCATGAATCCAGGTCCCTTGGTGATAAGTTTAACCCCGACCCACCTCAACACTCACACGTACGATGATATCATGCTGAGCCTGATGGTTTGTCCTCCCGCAATGAAGCCCGGGGTGTGCTCCTGAGCTGCTTGCGCCAAGGCTTCCACTTTGCTGGCTCAGGATCAAACTTTGGGCCCTAGTGCTGAGCTGAGGCCTGTGAAGGCGAATGGGACGCGGGGCAGGCCGGGACCATGCCAAGGTTGTGCAATGTTGTGCAGTGTTCTTACAGGATTGTGAGATGACGGGCCTCCCACCGCAGCAGTTTTAGCTGTATATAGTTTCATCGCACATCGTCGTCTATTCTTTTTGAGCCTTCAGCTTGCTGATGTCGTTCGGCGAGCCCATGTACATCACTGCGCTGGATTCACGGGTGGCAGAGCCGAACCCTGGTTGTTATGGGAAGCTGGGAGCTAGCAGTTTTCTGTGGTGTTTTCTATAAGCCTTTGCCGGGACAAAGCACCGTGGGATGTGACTGAGGCTATACATCACCGTATCAGATGGTCGGGTCAAGACGACACTGGCTCGGGATGCATCACAATCGAAGGAGGTGGAGACCACGTATGATCCGCATGACCCGCATGTGCAAGCAGGTGACTTGTCCTTCAGGCACACTTGAATTTCCATTCCTAGCCGTTGGGTTGCTGGCACTGTGTCGGGTAGAACGACTTAGCGTGTGCCAAACTGGTGTCTAGTTGTGCTCAGGTATTTGCCGCACAGGGTCCGACCCGGCATCTCACCTCAACTGCATCAGCTTCATTTCGCTCAAAGTAGACTGGAGTTCTATTGGCTGATTGGTTTCGTTAGTTTAAGTGCAGAGCCGTGATGCTTGTTGTGCCGAGGACTTCACCACTATATCCTGTAAAGAGGAAATGTCCAGCACTTCGTTGAGATGTATCTCAGCATCCAGCAGATGCAGCAGCAGTGACAGCACCACCTGCAGTGCAATGGCTTCTCGGTTGGATATCTTTCAGGCATAGACTTGTTGGCAATGCCCGACGCTTGTTTTTTTTTTTTTTTTTTTTTGTGAGGCTTCGCCCGACGACCGTCGCGGGGAAGCTCTTCCCCTGCTCCGCAGGCACGGCGAAACGACCTCGACTCGAATTCTGGTTTCGGCATTACCTCTGTGGGATTTTAGTCACCCGAAAGGCCGAGCAGCCCGCAGTGTCAAGCACATGAGATGAAAAGCGCGAGGCGGGTCGTCCCGGGAATCAAAAGCCCGCGAGGAATTACGAATGTCTAGTGGCTACATTTGTCCGGCTATGGCAGAAGAGTCAGGAGGATGTAGCAATCAGCACTGATGTGGTGCGGTTTCCACCTGCTCTTGAACTGCCCGCAAGGCTTCTCTGGTGTGAAGGTAATGCTGAAGGACGAATGGAGCAGATGCAGGCCCAGAAAACTGACAGCCCGCATGTCTTCTTCCGCGTCTCATCGCATCTTGCTGTTGAGCTTCATGGTGCATGTTGCGCCCTCTTGCCCTTGCCCACGAGAGGTTGTCAGAGGTTGGTATAGGTTGTGTAGGTACTGCCTGTGGAAGCTCGAAGCTCGCGAGTGTTTCGATGCGTTGTCGGCAGTTTGCTTCCAAGAGACTTTGATAAGCTAGCAGGCACTGGCGAGGCAGTTCCACTGTGGCACACTCTCGCACTTCAGCTCTCCATCAAGCTTTACTCGCTGGTTCTTCGAGCAAGGTTCCCGGCCTGTCACTCGCCTGCAAGGCAAGCCCCTCTGTGCTTAGAGGTTGGCCAATCGCGACCACTACATGCAGTGGACCGCAGATGCAAATGCATGCAACACTCCTGAAGACTGCCCCGCGCTCGCCCGCTGTGCATATTATGTATATACAAATATGTATACACATATAGATTAACTAGTTTTCTGTTGGTGGGTCTCCGAGTGCGCCTCGAGATGATGTGTTGACCTACACGTGCGCACATTGTGTATAGACTCGCTCAACAGGTATGTAGCTGCAAAACATTGCACACCAATAGCACGTAAGAAAGGACACGTATGAATCTGAACCAGAGATATACCCTACATACATACATGATTAATAGCCCAAAACCCCTCCCCCCCCTCCAGGATTGGGAATAAGCGCGGACCG